AAAGATTCCAAAGAGAGGGAAAATATCTTAAGTAATAATAATCGAATATCAGGGCCACCAAATTTAAAGAAATGTAATGATATTTCGTCTGTGCCAGCGCTGCTGGAGCATTTTAGCATCCTAATGGCTTCATGAATATTTCAGTGTGTGAATTCAACCGCATCTATCGTCGTTAGTCGATTAGAAGAATAGCTTTTAAAAGTGCAGACCGCATTAGTGTCATGCGAAAAATTTATAGGTTCCAGATAACTAACTGCAAATAAGTCGCTGAATATTTCACACATATCCACTGGATTATTATAATCTTTGGTGTCGTGGATAAGAAGAGGAATTTCATGTCTTGTGTAATTCGATCGCTTCCTAAGGAGGGCTGAGAGGGCATATACCCTAGATGAGCTAGCTAGTGCACGACTCTTCATCCTTCAAATGCAAATCATGGTTATGCGAGATAGAATTAAGAATACCAAGAATCAACCGAAGTGCATCGACGTCGTGATATCTGTAGTGTCTTGCGAGAGTTTGCGTAACTTTCTACGAGCACTGGGAGGCATGTATGGCTTATTGTTTTGGTGGCATTTTTTGGAGCTTTTCAATGCAACAACGGTATCAAGACAGGTTTTAGAGTTGTAGTAAAACATATCAATGGTTAATTTGAGGTCTGTAGTGGTGAAGACTGATCCCCAGTCAATGCAACTAATCACTGGACACATCTGCTGCCAAACCATTCTACCGTGGTCCCTGCATACTATTTGGTGTGTAGTGGAAGTAACAATTGAGGTACTAGTTACGGGAAGTGGTAGTGTGCATAATACCCTACTGTGCTCACTTCCTGGGAACTCGGAGCCCACATTTGTCAAAATAGGAACTATGTTATGGCAAAATATTAGGCCCAATACATTTTCACCTCTTGTAGGAGTTGTAACAATTCGCTTCCATCCAAAAATAGATAGTGTATGGAAAGCGTTATCACACCTAGCCGGACCAGTAGGCGAATCCCACTTAATTTCACGTTGGTTAAAGTCACCGCATATGATCTTATGATCATATGGGAGAGTGGATGCATGTTCCAGAACCGTAATCAATGGAATCCCATGATTGCCAAAGATACCAGGACTGTCGAAGGGTCCGTCCAGAAACAAACTTCACCAAATATATTTGGAATATTTTCCCCCGAGAATTTCACTCATTCGTGGGCCCAAAACTTCTGCTGCCGCTTCTGATCTGTGAACAGTTACAGGTTTTATAGGTGCCACTCAAGTCTTGTCATAAAAGCATAGGCTACTGTCCCATAACACTTTTCAGAGTCGTTACAATACAAACGCAACTCAGTTTGTCCAGTTTGCTTAAGATCTTCCTCCCTAATACCACTGAACACCGTAATCTACCCGATCCTCCTCACAAAGCTAGTCCAATCTCCTCAGTAGAAAGTGGTGCTTGTACTTGATGGCCGATCCCAACTAATATGGGACCCACAAAGAGTCTCCAAGAGTTGTTCTGCAGGTAAACATACTGCAGCAACTAAACCCAGTGGATCAAAACTTGGTGAAACGACAGAAAGTATTCCTCTTCTTGTCATGGATTTCTCATCTGGGACGAAACAAAACTTGAAACTATTGCGAACCGTGTCCCACTCGACGCCCAGTGCTCTATGCTTGGATATTCGTCACGAAAGCATGCCACGTAGTGTTTTATACAGTCTGAGGCCCTGGTAGGTTCTGAACTAACCATCCTGTTCTTTAATCTAAGACCTCCTCTAGTAGTCAGTTCGTCTGGTTGCTTCATAAACATTTTCGCAATTTTATCCTCTGGAAAGGGCATGAGAAAATCAAATATACGGTTGCCTTTTACCGAATCCGCTACTATGCCATCATAGTAGCCGGCGGACTTTTGCGTAGTCACTAACAACGCGGAGTTTGTACAAAATGTGGAAGATAATGCACCAAATGGATGTAATGTCAATTGGTACTCAATGGGCTCCTTTGAGATACCGTCCTCCGGTCATTAAACGGAACTCGGTGCGCCGTGATTGGTTCCAAGGACCTTTAATTGAGTAAGCGTCTGCGGACAAGACGGCCGGTTTTCTAAGAAGACGCAGCGGCGAACTAACTAAATCCGATTTTGTGTCCGGGCCTTGATACAGTAGGTCACCCGAAGATTCGCCGCCAACTTCAGCTGTCCAATCCCAAACCACTTTCGCTTTTCCTGGCTTCTTGAAATTCAGCATCACTGGATGAGGCAAGTAACATATCAAACGATGACTGGGGTTTAGCTGTAACGGTGTAACTACCACTGTGTACCCCTTTTTGCATGTTCTTCATATGACTCTCAGGCAGACCTTCATGGCACATTGGCCGACAATCCAAGTTCCCTGGTCCCTGTCTGGCTAATCTCTAGCCATCAGCAACCATGAACAACTCTACTTTCCAGGGTACCGGAGCAACTAAGAAACTGTAATCAGTGTGCCTCGCCAAGCTACGTCAGTCGCCTTCAGATCGTCCATCGACAATGATTTATAAGAGGAATGCACGTCGGCAAACTCATTCATAAGTGACCTTCAATCAGTCTATAATTCTAGCAGCTTGCCAGATATAATTCGCCAATCTTCCGTCACACTCTCTGTAGCCTAGTGGTCCAAAAAAGCAACCTAGCAAGGTTCTGATGGCATGAAAACGTTTTTCTCCTCCAAGCCTCCGGTTTAAAACGCAGTGAACTTCAGGCATAACAAACCCGACGAGTTACAAGATCTCAGATGCCTTCTAGTTCTGTCCAAGGCGCTCCAGTAAGAAACAGCCATTATCTTGTCTCAGGTTGCATCCCTCTTTGGTTTCCTTACCAGCTGGTAATTCGCATACTTTTATGGAACGCATATATGTAGGTCCATCCTGATGGTGCTCTTCCGCCCCGGTAACTAATCCTGTTTCGTCACTGCCTTCAAGCCCCCGGTGCCCACTTACTGTACTACTTCAAGATGATAACATATCCAGGAGGGGGCTGAAGTTATCCTAGTGCCATCGTAAGCAACTGCCGTCTAGTTTATTTCGCCTGTCCTGCACACCTTAGCTAGGAGTTGATAATGTTCGTCATAACGATTTAATATGGCTTTACCGCGAACCTGTTTCACCTAGCAATCACCTATCATTTTCGGCACTGATAAACACAACATTATTGTACAGTAAACATGGTTCCATATACTATCTAAACAGGTCATCTTTACTTCAGTTCCTGGGGCATGTCATCCATGCTTCAAAGAAAAAAATCCGATTCTTAGTTTCCCATTTCGCCTCATCTTCTTTGCGCTGTCACTTTCTTCCTGTTCTTCCTTTATCTGTTCCAGTTACGGAAGCTAACCAGTGAATGCCTAACCGGTCATGTTATTTGGATTTTTCTGGTTGCCACACATCCTCCGCCAGTCTTCTTTCCACTGACGGCCGAATGCTACATCGATCCTTGGCCAGCATGGAACGACACTGGCATCCCTGTTTGCGACGCGAACTATGGCGGCCTCTCGTACACTGAGCACTCGCAAAGTGACCAAACGAACTTTATTCTCAATAGCTAAAAACAGCCATTTCTAAACTTCGATCAATACTCTCAACGTATTTCCAGTATATCGATTCTAGAGTACCCGCTAAAATTTCTAGTCATCACAACTATGACAGCATGTACCACAAATATGATTAGAGACGCCTTCCCTTTCCAAATGTGGCCGAAATACTTCCATGATGAACTTAATGTCGTGTCCAGTCTTTTCTTTACCGGAACTTCATATTTTGTTTTCGACTTAGCAAACTCCTTTTCATTTGTAAATCACACCAATAATTCCAAATTATTAGTGCGTAATCACCATCGAAGATTAAATAGTGTAGCTGTACAATCGTGCCAGTAAACTGGCGTGTGCTTGTAATTGCAAGGAAAAATTGCTGTTGCTGACACTGAATGAAAAACTAAAAAATCTAACTGCTAGGGCACACAGAGCACCAGTGACCTTGTTACAACAGAAATCCAGGTATTCACGTCTGTCCGCAGGAAACGATTAAACGAAGCCAAGTCTTCGCGATCCAAACAAGTCACTGCGTACTTTTGTATGATTTTCCGAGCTTTTTCAAGTCACGCACACTCAAAGACTATATTTCAAGAAACTCGAAACACGAGCTGACGTGAGGAATCTGCGGTAATTTTTCACAACAGCCAGCCAGATCAAACTTATAAACTTACCTCAACGGTCCTGTTGGGCAACCATACAGCCCAAATATTTCTCTGGCACTGGATACATACCATATGGAGAAATACTGATTGACTAAGTACAACTGTCAAGCGCCTGGGATCAAAATTCTGTCTACGGGAATCAAATCAGCCAGTGAACTTTCCCAGTAGAAAGCCAGATGGCAAACAGTCACTCCGTAACACAACCTCAAGCCGGGCAATACAAAATGGTGCCATGTTGTCGGCAGTCCAACATCATGTAATAACGAAATGAAGCGTTGGGGGCAAGTCTCAACCGAAACAAAGACAAAAGATGAGTGTTCAGCGGAAGAAGACTGCAAGTAATAAGATACTATTACATCGGTTGGGGTTAAAGGATAATATCGACAGTGAGAGTCGAAATGTCCAAATAAATGTCAGTACTGTAGAAAAAGTACCCAGGATGGGTTTTCAGATCATTTATTCTCGTACACACCCCTTTAAGGATCATCAGTTTCTGAAGATTTGTTAGGATTCAGCCCTCTGAGTTTCCCCTGTTTATGAAGGGCTTAAACCACACAGTTTGTCCCCCCATCTTTTGACACCAGTATCTTGACATTGTAAGATTTTCCTCCCCCACCCGACAGATGTCACCTCTGAATTCTTGCACTGGTAGGCCAGCCACCTCAAGATTATTGCTCCGAATCTCTTGGCTGCTAAAGCAGTGTACGTCTAGCAAGGGGCCACTCTCCTTTTGCATCATTGAGTAAAATGTCCTAAGATTAACCTTTAGTGTCCTTCTCAGACTTTTTGCGTGCATGTCGAAAAGTGCTCAGTCACTCCTGCCGTTAGTCTCAGTTCAATTCCCACCGTTTTTAAAGCATGTATTTGCTGGGGTTTGAATTAAAGCAGGAGCGGCTAATCTTTTTGTGTCTATTTGAGATTCTCAGAAGTTTGAGGTTATCAGCCACTTGAAGTCTTGCGTGGTCTAACACCCCCTATGTCAGTCGCCGGAATTGGGCCACACCTCATCCGACCCCCCCGTGGTCGGTTTCCTTATACTTCCTTACTGGTGGTTGTTAAAGTGGTTGACTTCCACATGCACAAATTTTAGGGGGAACAGGCGTAAAATCACTGTATCCAGTGGAGTTACGGATTTACACCGTTGGTCTAATTGGTAAGAAAGTAATCTGGTCTGGAAGCCTTACAGTCGGATCCTCGGTGAGCTAACTGGGCACTTTCCTATAGCTGTTCTTTGTCAATATCATAAGGACCATGTCCCTGGTGCAGCTAGTAGATAGCTTCATACTATCATCTGTCAGTCACCACCACCGGGCATCTGCAAGTAGGTCGTAATGGCTTGATGGGTCTTTGACTGTGACGATTATTGAGAGATCAGCAGAAGAATCTGTTGAACAGGCCAAACTAAGATCAGCATAATGCTTTCCAAAAGGTCGTGGTTCTTTTTTAACTAGTTGCCTGGAGATTATGCCACAAACCGTGGTGACGTTTACCAGTGGTCTCAAGGGGAACGCTCACTTCTGTGCCACTGTCGGTGAAATGGAAAACTTCTATCATCACATCTGTCACCTACAAAAAGCAGAGGTATCCGCTGACTGCAGTCACTATCAACCATTACCAGTGCGGGAGCTTCCCAAGTTGTTACAGTCTTTGTTGATAGTGCACGGTTCCCAACAGTTTCGTACTTTCTCACCATAAGTGTTGTAGGATCAACACATTTATGGCTTTGGCTAACAGTAGCGACATGAATTGAAGTGGTTAGGTGGAACATGGAGCTGCTGCTTTGTGTGTCGTGGCCTATAGCTTTAAGTGTGTAAAAACTGCCAAGCAGAGCTGCAGAGCTGTCATCTTAAAATCCAGACATGCAGGTTTCCTTTTACTACACAGATTGGGAACAGGTCTAAAATATTTTTCCACCATTTTTGTCAACTGGAGCTACGAAGTCATTGTGAGCTATTGGTTAGTGTCACAAGCACAGCCTACACCAACTGCGGTAGCTTTTAAAGTAACAGCTCTCAAAAAGGTGATTACTGGTATTTGGATGGCCTATTATTTCTTGCATTTGTGTAAGCACACCAGTATCAGAATCATCCCCGGTGCTGTGGAGCAAATGATCTGTGCACTGACGATCTTTTAAACAACCCTTCCTAAATTTGGTGATTTTGAACGGTGTGAATGGGACACTTACGTCAGAAGTAAATATATGTGCTGTTATGCACCCTTTCAATCCCCCGTCAGTGATAGCATGACATTACGGAATTAAGAACGAAGGTCTATGACACCCTGGTTCAAGAAACCTGCCTTGGCATACACAAAATGTGTCTTTGCATTGTCTGACGAAAATGGTAGGAGTCCAGTTGGGTGCGTTGTTGGTTGAATTCGAACAAGTTCGGGAGTCTGGTCGTACCCAGAAAAAGGTTTTAAGACAAGCATGTAAAGTTAAGAGTGTGAAAAAAGAATTCACAGGTACGAAAGACGATGAGTTCAGCAGTTTAAGGTTTTCGACATGCGGTATCAGGAGATACTGAGGCCAACGTCTTGGCTCTTACACTTGATAAATACTCATAAGTACGAGACCCAGAAAAAATTCAACAGGACAGATGGGTAGGAATCGGATACCTATTGGGTGCTGCCAATGCACCAAGATGAGTGAATGAGGAACTAAATGCAGCACAGTAATGTATTAAATGTCGTGGATGCTTGGTCGCCTACCTATAGTTTAACAACCCCGTTGAAACTACGAAGGTCAGTAACAATGTTGAGTATCGTCGAACCTTAGGGTATTGATTTCGGGAAATTATTCGCTGCTTCACTCTTTTGTACCCAATTTAAGTATACAATCACAGCTATATCTGCTCGTTTTACGATACCACCGATTCCGATGTAAAACGCATATTGGACACAGGTATTCGCGCGTAGACAGGTTCGAATATGCTCGTGTTGAGCAATGTTGTCTCCTAGCTTAATATCCACCGTCTTTTCTCAAATAGAGTCCTTAGTTTATTTCGAAACAAAAAAAACCACAAGAGTAACCACTCAGAAATCAACCAGGTAAGTTCTCCATATTTTGGCTTCATATGTATGTTTTGTCGTTATTAAGTTTCATTTCACAACAGTTTGCTGTTTCTAGGATGAGATTTGCGGTTGCATATGTATCCTTTCACTGTCTTTCCTCCTTTATTTTGCATCAGTTCTAAACCCCAAGTCAGTTTCGCTATGGGCATACATGTATTTGATTTTACCCAGCCGGCAAATACTATGGGTGGACTTTGAAATGTTTACTTAAAAAACGGCACTAAAACTTTGGGATAACTGTCGTCAGTGCATCGCTGCGTCTGAAAATTCCAAGTTTGTCAAACATCGCCCAAAGTTTTGCCCAGGAATCCCAAATTGTCTACAGAGCTCCCGAAGTTTTAAAAATAAGCCATTATAAGAAATAACAAATAGTTTATGGGAATACATTTAGTCTATGTGTGCTTTTTGGAGCAGTATACGTGATGTGTAACTGTTCATTTGATTACAAAGCAATGTGATCTTCAGAAGATATGAATTTTTGGGATAAGTGCTCAAATGTTCCAAGCTGCGCCCAAAGTTGAGTTCAGGATTTACCCAAAATTGTCAAAGTGCACCCAAAGTCTTTGCTAACTGGGTACATCAGCTCATTAGACAGGATCTGACCTAGTCAGTAGCGATCTTGTAGTGAACATAATTTACTTCATCCTTGATAGCTTTGTTGTAAGGCTTCTGAATGGAAGACGAGGTATGCACCCCCTATTCAAAGGAGATTGAATTCTATTGCACTTATCCTAGTTCAGAGTAATATCATGAAACCATTACTGCAGTGTATCTTTTATATATCTAATGATATAACAATGGCTATGTTTTTTGTATTGTGGTGAAGAAATCTGACCAACATTTGGGCTTGAAAACTATTCCGTAGACAAAACTCATGATATGACGCCTCTAGATGTCCATTTAATATGATAGTAGGAAAAGATCAAGACTATCGAATCGTTTCGTTTTACATATATTGCTAGATGCTCTAACGCTTAAATCCTTTGTCCAACCAACAATCCTTTTCTTTTTTGCACCATGATTCACAACCCAATGATGTTTACTTGTCAGGTTTACATCATAGTAAATAGTAGCAAATCACTTTTCTTCACGCAGACAGGAATCACTATTTCGAGTAACCTTTTTTGTCAATCCTTTCTAGCTTAACAATACATAACAGGAACACTCATCATAAATGCCTTGAATGACTGCTCCATATATGAATGTTTTTCAACAGAAATAGGTTCATTTATCTCCACGCTGCATGTATCGTTTACTTCTGGAAGATACATTAAGTGATCACACACATTGCACATGCCGAGGCACCACTTACTCTGGTGTACAACGCTACTTTAAGTTGCATTTGTTTGGAAGAGGGCACACGATGGGCAGAACAAGATGTAACACTAGTCGATGAAGTCTGACTTAACCTAAACTGCGTTGGAAGATGTAGACTACATGCTTGAGGTCTCCGTAAAGATAGGAATCTGTGGTGGAGGATTCTTCGTGACATGGCTTAGAATGGGTCACGACGCCAAATATGTATTCTTTCTTCGTCTTCTTGTAAAGCTTGAATATTCGCACTAACCTTTATCTTCACATTGCTCATTGTCACACTACTTCATATATCTTGACATCACTTTCATCCCATCCACCTGTTCTTTGCATACTAATGCATAGTGTGGCAACTTGAAGTGATGCACTTGTCTACGATGTTCTACTTTGATTCTGTTTGTCATGTCTCTGACACTATAAATCATATTTATTATAAAAGATGACAAAAACCACTGGGTTTATTAGCCACTAAATCAACCCATTTCACACCTACCACTTATTGCCTGTCTTGTGGCGTTCGCTTGGTGGTTCCGAATATTCGCTTTATTAGTAAGAAAAGACGATGCAGTTGAGCAAGTCTAACTGCAAACAAAGCTGGGTAGCATTACAGTGAAATGCAACTACTTATCAGGGTCGTTTGAAAAATACTCTTATTTCCCAATAGAAAAGTATGCTTTTCCCTTTGGCTTCGGAGTCGAGTTTTTCGTCTACACAAGCAAACACTAGCTATATCGCTGCTTTTATTCTTTCTATCCCTAAAATCAAATAACGATTTGTTTGGGTGAATAATTCTCTTCAGGTTGTTAAACTGCCTTCCAGTTGCATAAAAATCATTCATAACTTCACTAATGAGATCTGCCTCACCGAACTTTCAAATCCTAGTGAATATAATCAACATTGATGTTTCTGCGAATGCCCATCTTTTCCTAAAAGATCCTAGTTTGAAATTTTTGTCTTATCGATTCTCACCCACAGTGTGATATTTACCGTCTGCGATTGGACTAATTGTCAATTGTCCTAATCGTGTGATTCTTCTTATTACTACAGGAGCTCATCTGAACTAAGGGAGAATTGCATTGATGTGTGCGTACTCAAGATATTTGTGTATATGACTCATTCAAACTAGAGCTTTACTAATTGTAGTACTCATTTGCAACTAGTTAGACGCCTGGTCTGCGTTACCGTCGTATGCAACCAGTCCTCAAGTGAATTTCCGATTGCCAAGATTATAAACCGTTATGCAGCATCAAGTTTTTGTTAATCTTTACAAATAAAAATTAAGGTTACTTCGTTGCAAGCATCAGAATGTATCAGTGATGGATAGTGGCTAGCTGTGGAACCCAGGATGCACATTTCATCCTATTCAGGACTTGTCAGCTGGATGTACTTGCCTCCCAGGGAGTGATGTTGTTCCCGCCGGGATTCGACCCCATTCACTTCAAACGCCAGAGCGTTATCCGCTAGACCACCGAGCCATGATAGCCACTTCTTGTGAGTTGGGTATAGTTTTAGTATAGTTGCTTGTATCATACTGTCGTCGATTGGACCGAATTCACCTTTCTCTATTGGCATATGGGCTCTTGTGTGGATTCCTCTATATTACCTGTGTTGTAATGATGGATAATTAAAACACAAGTAATATCGAGGCGTCTTCACAGGAGCCCATATCCCAGTAGATATCGATCAGTTTGGTCCAATCAACTACTGTATAATACAAGCAATAATATCAGAATGCATCGTTTGAAAATGAAATATTATTTCCTGTTTTTCTCATCAGATTATTAAACTCTACGCATCAGAAGCAGAACGTCATTTCATTCGTTGCTTATTTTCTTCAATCGACTGTTCGAATGAAACAAAGTCTCAAAAAGACTTACACCAGGTTTGTTAGTTTCTCGTGATTTTCCTAACTTCTTTATAATAGGTTCAGTATTTCAGTCAAGAACTCAGCAAATTACTTACAAAGTTCAATTTCGTGTCACTTATCTGTTACTCCATAGAAAAGCCTCTACTAACACACAAGGTAAGCTCAATTTGATTTGATATTTCGCTATAAAAATAAGCCATGCAGGACATGTAAACAAGCTGGTTTATAACGCAAAATAGCTGATGTCATACAAGTAGTAGTTGACACTACTCGTGATCGGTCACTTTGACACAGTCACATTTTATCCCGCCTCAAAAATTTAACATTCCGTTTCCGTTTCTACCTTATATTCTCTTATTGTCCTGGAGTTTTGTTTAAAATTAACCCAGCTATGTGGTATCAACAAACCCACAGTTTCGTTCAGAAACATGTTAACACAGGGACTATTCACTTCCTCATCAATATCAACATAGGACCAGGCATTACTACATAACGGTCCGAGTTGCCACAGCTCAGTACGGTACATCAAGTAGAAAGGTAGTGAGGTGAAGGATGAAGATAAGAGAATGCAGCCAGAAGAAATGTAAAGTACGAGAAGAAAGAAAGAATGAGAAAATGGTGAGAATCGGTATTATGTTAAGATGGGGGTAATGTGTGTATACATCTGTGGCACTGACATCGGTTCTGAGCCATATCCTCTAGAGTCTCCAACCACTGGTTCCTCTTGTCTCGCGGACCCCAACCACCCATCTTTCCAGTCGTTTCCCCTGCGAGTGAATCGCAGATCCGTCCTTCTCCGCTATAGCCTCACTAACCCCAGTCTCCGTAATAAGTCTAAATAATTGTCTACTATTCACTTGTCTAAATTCAGTTTATATATGAAAATGAAAGGTGAAATATATAATGAAAATGAAAAGGTTGTGATACTAGTCTTAGTAATATAATCAGATTGCTAAGGATTATCAAGGCAAATTAAATGAAACAACAAACTGTTTTTGTAGACACAGCGGGGGCTTAAGTTTACGAATGGCTAACGCTTCGGCAAACTTCAGTATACACCTCTGATTATTCCTGTATAATATCTTGAAGGCTGTTTTCCTATTAACCTTGTGATTCATTTCGATGAAGATGTTTTGCTATAGATGACGATGGATCTCTGTCATATATACTTGTCAATGTTCGTGTTAAACTGTTTTTCTAGCCATTTGGGTATGTGTTCACCCACCCTTGTCTGCATTGAACGATTACTCCTCCCTATCTATGTGTGCCCACACATACATGTAAATTGGTAAATTTGACCTTTAATTTTCATATATAAATTGACTTTAGACAAGTAAATGTGTGGGGAATCAGATTGTTCGAAATGTATTGCACAAATACACATCACATGTTGTTCAGATAGTCTTCGTCTTCTAATAGTGTTATCGAAATTTATTAAAGAGACTAATTGAAGTGTAGTTGTCATATTTTAAGTACTGATTACTGATCGAGGTGTATAGATCAAGTCGGCAATGTGATCACCAGATCAAGTGGAACCGGATTACACCGTATTCCAATGACCTAAATAGCTTATTGATAGAACATCTGACCTCAGTACGCATGAATGTGGGTTCTTCATCTGAAGCGGAACATGAATTTCCCCAATATTGCAGATGTACCCTGCTAATAAGCACAAAAACCAGGACTACTATTTCCTGCCAACTGACTCCCAAAATCTAACATCACAATGCCAGATTTATCGACAACTTGACTGGATCTTATATTTTAGTTTAGAGATGATATTTTATTTTTCTGCTAACTCTGATGATTGTAGACTGTCCGATAAGTTTTGTTGATAAATTATATATTTGTCAATGATGGTGGTCATAGCTGACAAGAAAATAGAGTTCTGGCTTTCAAATGCCTGTTTCATTGCCTTAAGTCCAGATAACCTGAGCACATTTTACCATATACCTGATGGCATTTTGCTGTTTATAGTCTTGAACAACCACTCAAGATACTGAACAACAGACTTGAATAACCATAACACCTATGGGAAGCATATTCTATAGCCTTAACTGGGAACTTGCTTACTTAAAGTGATTGAGATGCCGACCCATGGTCTACCTCGATGTGCCATGCTAGGGTAAGCTGGATTAAGTTGATAAGGGATTCAGAGTGGCCAACCCAAGACCTGGCACCAGCCGATGAAGTCTCTTACTGTTGATCTAAGCCATGTGAAGAGATGTAGACTGTTTGTCTGGAGTCCGCTAGATGATAGAAATGAGTGTTTGAGAACTCTTGGTAACAGTCACAATGGCACAGATGCATTCACTCCTTGACGTCTTCTAAAGCTTAGATATTCGCACTAACCTTCATCTTCAGATTGCTTATTCTCTCACACAACGTATTCTACTTTGATATCAGTCTTTTTCTATCCACCTGTCCTTTGTATAGTGCTGTGAAGTGTTTGCGAGGTTCTGCGTCGGTTTTTTCTATCTGTCTGATTTGGAAACGCTTTTTAAGCTAGTCCACTAGATCTTAAAATGAGTTGATAATTGTCAAAATCTTTGTAAAGAGAGTGTAGTCACCAAATTAAAATATCACAGTAGTTTTCTTACCAATAGTGTCTAGAGATAATAACAAAGAAAAGAAGTAAACTACTGTTTTCACACATTTTTCTTACATTTGTTACTTAGGCAATGCTTTGTGCATAATTTTCATCTTTACTTGATCCTATTGTAATGATTATTTGTCCTTTGGGTTCCTACTGGAACATAAGGCTTCACTAGCATGTCTTCACTTCACTCTGTTCTCTTAAGTCTCTTGAACCTGGCTCCACGACCGCCCAGAAGCTTTCAGTTCTTCCTCATACAATCTCCTCCATGTCACCCTCGGACGCTCAACTCGTCGTTTCCCATTTGAGCTCCACTCGACGACCTGGCGCGTGATGTTCCCAATCGGTCTTCTCAGTTTACGTTCAATCCAATCCATCTCCTCTTTGTTCTGCATGTGTTGGGCGATTGGTTGTTGGTTGCTTCGTTGCGAAGCCAGAGTTCCTTGATGCTTATTCTTATGATTGTGGCTATCTGATCTTGAGTATCGAGTGATCGTAGGTGGCAGCCGTTAATGTATGTCTTTGTTAGAAATGCTTTTCGTAACGTGCCGAGTCTCTGAACCATATAGAGGCATTGGCTTGACATTAGTGTTGGAAATCCGGATCTTGTTCTTTTTGCTGAGTGCAGTACGTCTCCATCCTATGTAGATAAGCTTATTTTATCATGTAGTGGTATTTCTTCCCCTGAATTGTTCCCGATTTCCTTCCTCATGAACTGATCCCCACTTTCTATACTTGTTAGCTAATAACAGTTTTCAATCTGTAATAACCTGTCTCTCTTCTTACAAAACGTTGAGTTCGTAATTGACTGTATACTGCAGCTCACTCATCTACATGTTTATGTAAAGTGAGTCAAGATTCACACTTGTTGTTTCAACCGGAAACCGACTGTTTGCAAGTCGAGTGTGCCACATCTCTACTGTATATTTGAATAACTGATAAATCTATAGATATAAACATTAGTTTCACTTCAGTTTCTGCTCATGCATCATCAAGCGTTACAGTTAGTTAACACATGGTCATTCAGACGATCAGGTCATGAAGTAACTATTGAGATGAGTTATGTAGCTTACCTGGAAAGGAGGCCATCGATAAAGTTGCTTTAGATGTCAAGCAGTGAACACATCTGCACCACTGTCACCAATTTTCATTAATATCACCAAGGGTCTTCAATTATTGATTACTTTCGTCTCAGGTACCCTAGCTAAGCAGACTGCATCTTCCTACGCGGCTTAAGCCAACAGTCAGGAATTCATCGACTGGTGCCAATTCCTGGTCTGACTACCCTGGACCCTCATCCAACTTCCCCTAGCATGGTACATCGAGGTAGGCGATGGTTTGGCATGTGAAGTACATGTCCAAGCCATCACTAAACTGAAGTTCACAACCTCATCAGTCGACTTATCTATCTTAGCTAGTGCTCTTCACCTAACCTCAATGTTTACATGGCGATTCCACCGAACGCAAGCAACGCTATAAAGACACCTATGATCAAACTGCTTCATGTCTTCTACTTTTAACGGCCATGTCTCAGCTGCCCAAAAGGATAGGACGAACTACAGTGCAGTATACTCGTCCTTTGATAGATAATCGAGTATCTAGCTAGCGCCACCGATGACACAAGTTGGTAAATGCCAAACGGGCCTTCTGTATCCGGGCTGAGATTTCGTCAACAACCAACCCGTTCGAGCTGATTTGACTTCCCAAGTACGTGAACGGATCGACACATTCCACCACTCTTCACTCCCTATCATTAAACTGTGGGAACTTGCAGCAGACCAGTCCTCAATCGTTATACATTTGACAGGTTCGAAACGCATGCTAAACACTCAGATTTCTACTCAGTGCCTTCAGAAGGCCGTGGATGCTACGTCAACCAGGAAGTAGTTTAATTTTTGTGGTCAGACATTCCCAGGGTTACGTCCATCAGCACATCTATGACGAAGTTAAGTGGGGACGGTGCCAGTGGACATCACTAGTTATCGTCAATTCTGATAACAACACTCCACAAGCCCGGAAATGTCTGCATGAGTTCGAGTAGGTAACTGATTAGCGTTATATAATTGCTCGGTACTCCGTTCACAGTCAGACACTGCCATAAGATCTCACGGTCAATGAAGTCAAATGCTACTTTCAGGCCAAGAAATATGACAAGTATCAGACGCCGGTAAGTATACCTGTGTTCCAGAACCTGTCGGAGGGAGAAAATATGATCGATGCACCCTCGACAAGGTCTGAAACCTGCCTGGCTTTCTCGAGCTCCAGCTAGACGTAGCATAACTATGACCCCTGTGATCTTGGACACAATATTAGTCAAGCTAATTCCCCCGTGGTTGTCACAAGAAGATTTCTCCCCCTTGTAGACTGGGATGACCAATGCAATAGACCACTCTGACGACACTACATCTGATTCCTATACAATACTTAGTATCTCCGTCACTCTAGCCAGCAATTTACTACCTACATCCTTGAAAACCTCGGGTGGAAAACCGTCGAGGGCTACTGCTCTGCATCGTCTCAGGTTCGATGGAGCGTTCTCAACTTCAGGAAGAGTTGGAGGATCGACATCGACGCCCTATTCAGGTTCAGGGTGGATGTTGGTAACTGGAGCGTTGCTGAAAGCCAGCTGAAGTGTGCTTCAAAGTGTTCTGCTCAATGTTCTAGCCACCTGTTCTAGGAGGTTATCAGCGCATCGTCCTTTCCGGTGATGGTTCCACTCACAGTCTTCTTCTTCTTGCCGGTATCCTTAATAAGCGTAAACAGTTACCGAATGTTACTCAAACGGTGATACCTTCGGCATCTCTCTCGCCTTTACTGCTCACGGTCGACGCGAAGACTGTTGGTCAACTTACATTTGACTTGCTTTCTCTCTTTATCTTGGTTGAAGTCAGCTATAATCACTCATCTCACAGCAATCAGTTCGGATAACGTCGAGGAAGTCCAATGACATTTGCTAACCTTCATATGCAGGTTACCAATTGTCTTTAACGCTGTTTCTACACCAGAATTAATAACATGCCAGGCTTCCTTAAGATGAGCATTGTTATCATGTTCAGATGAATACTTAGCTATCTTTTCGATAAATCCGGACGTGACGTTCTCATCTTCCAGTCCACCATAGGCAGGCTTTACTATCGCCCGTTTCCTGCGACCGGTAAGGCGTAGGCATACACGAGTGTGCGTGTACTAGCACATGATCGAAGTTCAAACTGGTACTCCAGAAAGAGCGTCAATCCTCCAACGATGGATCATAGCAACGTGATCTATCTGTGTTCATCGTTGGTTTAAAGTCTACAGACGCCGTATGAGGTAGTATCTCTCCTTATGCCTAATGTTAGTGCTGGCCATAAACAAGTAATTATCATTTGAATGAACGAAGAATATTCTTTTTGATAGTTCCTTCTTCAGGTCCTACAGTTATATGTACATATTAAGGAATTATGCATATCGACAATATAGAGATTCTGTTAATCAGTTAAGAGAATTTGTTAAAATTATTTCCAACTATACAGTGTGGAATTAGATTATCTGGTGTAGGATGCTAACACATTTGTGTATCTCAAATCGTTCTACGATAGTGGTAGTGGCAACACTTTCTTCGTTTGAATACAACTCAAGTTGTTTTGATCCTGGTGATTATTACTTCTACAGTTTAAAGGATCCTGAGCCAGATACCTTTGGAAAAGTTGATGGAAATCTGGTACAGAATGGCTAGTAATGATCTTTATCACACCTTTACTTAATCATGCTAGGAGGTGTTTGTTAGCGCAGGACACTAAATTCTTAGAGTGACCGATGTAATTAACTCCACAGGGTGCAGTCGAACTGATAAACACAATTGGAAGTGGCTTGTTTAGGCAATTCGTCTTTCAGTTTCGGTGTCATTATTGGACGTATGAAGAGCATTTTTAACTTACCAGCATTAAAAGTCCTCTGAATTGATTTAGGTGATTTGTAAATTAATATCTGTCTAAACGTGTCACCTCTGAATAGTAGCCGAATGTATGACCGTTAGAACATCCTTTCTTATCATTTTTGTAGTCACATGTTTCTTCATGAATTTATCAGCATAGCCATTTTTGATTAGTGTGTTACACAAAGGCATCAGTTCCTTCTCAGCTGTATCTTCCTTAATCCTGTAGTCTAGAGTTATACTAAATTCTGTTGGTGCTGAAATGGGATGAAGCTTAGAAATTGTGTGTATTGTCCCATCCACGTACTTTTCTTAACGAAATTCGTCTTTATCCATTCATTTATTCTTCTTGATAGAAAACATTCAGAAAAGGTACATTGCTTTCTGTCTCTTCACACGTAAACTTGATCGCTGAATGTGTATTATTTAATCTGTCCATGTTGTTGTCGTATAGAATGAATGAAAATTCTCTGATATATCATTCAAGCAAACTATTATCTCGTTACAATAGAAAAAGATCTGCTAACATATATATAGGACCCAGTGGTGACCCCATTGTGTCTCCATCCATCGTATATATGAGTAATAATTCTTTGCGGATGTCTTAGTGTTGCCTTTTTTTTCTCTCTCCTCTCCTCACTTCATTTCTTTTCTTTACAGAATGATATATCACCTATAAGATTGTTTTCACAAATCACTCAGATTTCAACATTAAATCGTCTACAAGAAGTGATTCTTGGTCTTTCACTTACGCATACAAATGATGCCCAACTGAATACTAGTGCAAAACACTGGGTTCACCAAAAACTATCAGATTTTATTCAAGCACACCTTGCTGTTGATAATGGTAAGTTAGTTATACAGATAGTGATTCTTATCTCAAGTTGTTATTCATCGAAGACTGACATCAGTTGGAGGAACAAAGGAAACCTGGGAGCACTGGACAGCTGTTTCGTCCTAGTACGGGACTCCTCAGGTGACTTCGAGAAGTATTCCCGAAGTCCCAATGAGAAGTCGTGACCAGTGGAGTCAAAGCCTGATGGCCATAAGGACAAATACTCAACGATGACATTGGGTGGCGGTTGCGCTATATATCGTGAGCTAACAGAAGTTGGAAATATGGAGCATTGGATTCTCACCCAGTGGCTCAATGGTAACGCGCTGGTCGCGGAACCTGAAGGTCTCGGGTTCGACCCCTGCTGGTGGGGTCGTGGGTGCGCACTGCTGAGGAGTCCCATACTAGGACGAACCAGGTGTCCAGTGCTCCCAGGTTTCCTTTGTTCCTCCAACTGATGTTAGTCTTCGATGAATAACAACTTGAAATAATTCCAAATCTCCACAACCCCTCAAAATTATTATATGTTTGTTAATACACTCATATTGTGGTTTCTCTTCATTTTGAATTGAAAATATAATACAATATAAATAAAATAAATCACTTTATATCCCTAACTTCTTGCAACTCTTGCATAGTATCTTTGACGAAGTTTTTATCATTTTGCATGCCCATCTAATACAACTCTACATTGATATCTGAAATGAGACATTCTCTTCTAATTGACAATTTAATATCAGTTGTCAGTGTACACTAACCTTGTTGAACATTTGTGAATTTTCGCTTCTTGTTTGTATGTATGTTGAAAATAATACGAGCGAAAGTTAAAATATGTTGCATATTTATGAACTAGGCAATAAACTACATGTATTGTGTATTGTTAGAGCAAACCAAAACTCCAGTAAATGGAAATTGGTTTGAACCCGCCATGTATTAATTGAACATCGAATATTTACACTAATAAACCCATATCACTAGAAAGAATAATACAATCAACAATTTTCATCATCTAATCCAAGTATCAAGATGATATTCAACTTGTAGACAATTAAGAGTTTTGTCGGGATGTATACTAACCTGAAATCACCAAATCAATCCCTATAAACTTTCAGATTGAATTAATTTAGTGCTCATTGGTGACTGCCTTCATGAGAGGTGAGAACATAAGGATAGTAACTCAAGACGGTATTGGATGGAGGCCGCGCTATATCGTGAACTTACAGAAGTCGGAAATATAGGTCATTGGATTCCGACCCACTGGCTCGATGATAACATGCTGACTGCAGGACGTGAATGTTCTAGGCTCGATTCCTGGTGGGGTCATGGATGCGTCTTGCTGAGGAATCCCGTAATAGGACGAAACAGTTGTCTAATGCTTCAAGGTTTCTAATTTTCCCCCCAACTAATGTCAGTGCATGATAAATACCAACCTGTAATCAACTTGTAAACGTTTGGTTTTTGTGTCAAGCCATAGTCTTTACGTTATGTATTCCGAGAGGACAGCTAACTTTGTACACAAGATCTACCGTCTCCAATCTGGACGAAGAAGAATGAACTAGGTGGGAGAATTTATTCCTCGGAGAGGAACAGTTTATATATATATATAATGTACAACATATGACCTTGTCCAGAATTTGAAACGTTGACATAATAAAAACTTAAGCACCAACCAATCAGCGAATTACCTTCATAATGGGAGTTAAAATGAATTACTGATTATGCCGTTGAAAAACGGCATGGGAACGACAATTTTAAAATGTTTAGATTAATAAATAATGTTGTATGCAAATCTGCGGCTTTCCAACACTTTCCACCCAGTTTACAGTCTTCACTCTACTAGTCAGTCCAATTAAGTTTAATGACACATATTTAGATGTTATTGCAAAGTGCTGATTACAAGAAAATAAAAGCCCCACAAGTAGTAGTGAAAAAGACGACAAGACAGAGACGAATGAAGGAATGTTTATCAGTAACGTGTGGTACAGTAGTCATCAAGTGTTGTACACCTCCCACTAACACAGTCATTTGCGAAATGTACTTCATTTCCTCTCTTACTTCTCTCTTTATACGCCCGCGTTGTCTCTTGTGTTCCTCTGGATAGAATCCTTATCCATTGCTAGTATTTCCCTATGATTTCTGTTGCCCTCTCAACATATACTACTTATATCCATTCTAGTCAGCAACACCCACTACATTAGTAGTTGTGATCATAACTATTTTAGCAGCATATATTTTGGTTGCAATCTTGTCAGAAGGATAAGGCTGGATAAAACAAACGTAGTTTACTCTCAATTAACCGCGCAAAGTTCTGTACACATTCATGCAGTGGGCAGTGATGTACACCCAATTTGTGAGAGCTACTACTCGGCTGCCCTAACCTTGGTAGGGTGGAACGTGGTTCAAACTCTCCACCCAATGGATGATAGTCATCACCTTAAACTTCAGTCTCAGTAGATTGAGGAGAGTTAGAACTCAGTAAAATGCACTAGATCAATGAACAACATCACCTCCACTTTGAAGAATACGTCTTCTTTTACCGAAATTCTAATGATCAGGCAGTATCACATCCTTCATACTTGAGTACTTGTTGGTTGATCATGTTCATTAGGATGTGTTACTCATCAACATTTCAGTCACGTTCCCTTACTTTCTTGTGTGCTGGTCAGTGGTTATTGAAGGTGGGGGGAAGAATTGATTTTTCCACCAATTCATCCATCCGGATCAACCTAGGACCAGGCATTACTGCGTAACGGTCCAACCTCCCGCCACACCTCATATCAGTAGATCAATTAAAAAGGCAGTGAGGCGCAAGATGAAGATAAGAGAATGCACTCAGAAGAAATATAAAGTACGAAAAGAGAGAAAGGAAGAATGAGAAAGTGGTGAGATTCGGTATAGCGTCGTTAAGATGAGGATAATGTGTGTGGCGATACATCTGCTCCCAACTGACATCAGTTCTCAGCCATATCACCTAGAGTCTCCAACCACTCACTGGTTTCTCTTGTCCCATGGACTGACCCCAACCACTTAGTGTGCATCGCCCCACATGACTCAAACCAACATTCAGAGACTTCATACATTGATGTCATGTTTTAGTCTGGCCACCTCGGGCTTTTTTCACCAGATAGGTCACTGGTTTAAAACACGCCCCTCCATTTACTGAGGTTTTATATAGCAGCCAGGTAGTTGTATCATTAACCCTGACAACTAAAAATGTGTAGCGTAGCTCTGCTACAATGTTGATTCGACTTTCTAGTATTGAAATTTGACAAATACTTGGCAAATTATCATCTTGCTTTTTAATTATTCAATATAAACTGTACATAATTTCATCTTTTGCCTTTTTTCTTTAGTTCAAACAGCAAATACTTGCGGTAGCTCTACTAGTGCTGGTGGTAGTGTACAATTATCGAATATTATCGATGGTCAAACAACAAGTACACTTAGTTCGAAACCCCTTCAAGACTCATCAAATACATACAGTTTACATGAAATTAGCACAGAATTATTACATTTCATTCTGAGTCATCTATTTGAAGATAGTGAGCATTATGGATTATCAGATAGTGTGATGACAAATTTTATCTATTCTTTACGCACAGGTAGTTTCTCTTGGTTTTAATGATTATGTTCAACTTGTGACCCATATTATTATTATTATTATTAAATTGTCTTGTTCTCAGTTAATTGATCACCTGAATGCTTGAATACAACATATAAGAATTGAATGATAAACATCAGTGAAATGTGGCTTAACACCTCAGGATCATATTGTCCAAAGTTGATCGCTTTATTATCCTGTTATAGATGTATTAATAGACATAATATTTGATATATTTGACTTTAAAGGGATTGATCTACTCCCCTGAAGATTATTTAGTTGATTTGAAGTATGCTAGATGAAGACAGATAGAGTCTTGTGAACAAGTTGAAGAGAAATCTCAGTATGTTTTACTGGTTTACGTTTTTGCTGGCACTTGTCTAATGTTAGATGACGCTACAGGACTAGTCTTTAACTATTCTCCGTTTAATGATAATGAGTAAAGTGGTAGAATGTATCGATCACTTCATTTACACTTGTAAAGTTGCATCTACTTGAATAGTGAAGGCGCGTTAGATATTTGTCAACAAGTATACTGTAACACATGACTGTCGAAGACATGAAGAGGGTTACAGATGTTCGGAAATAGGTGTCTTTGTAACATTACCCGCGTTTCATGGAATCCCTGTGTGAACAACGTTGAGATCAAGCCAAAAGCATATGTATGGACATGTATTGTTCACACGGATCCACCGCATACAACAGAAGGTTTGATTAAGTTGGCATGGAGTTCTAGGTGGTGAAACAAAGATGTGGCTTCAATCCACGAAGTCTTTGTCTGTTGGTCTGAGCTATGTGGGGAGATGATTGAGAATCGATGACAGCAATGAACTTGTCCACGATGTTTTACGTCGGTTCTATATATCTATCTATCTGTGTGTGTGTGTGTGTGTGTGTTAAGCCAATACATCGTCATCTGTTTGAACTCTCTCCTTCATCTACTAAGATGGAAACAGCCAAGTAACACCGTTAACTGTTGCATAATTAATGTGGTTAAATGAACTGTCTGGCTAGTGTAAAAATTATAGATCTACTTTGATTTCGCAGTTTCTCATCAGCTGCAAAAACAATTTATGCGAAATGTGTGTTTACATTCTTGAATCAGTTTGGTCGAGAATATATAGAAGGACTAGATGAATATTGGATAAATGTATCCCACCTATTTAGAAAGGTTATACAAAATCTGTGAAACAAGGTAAGATTTATAGGAGTAGAATTCAGGTAATTAGGGGTCAACAATGTGAAACTTGAAACAACAAACAAAAATTTTATATAGAAGTAGTATTCATCATGGACTGACATCAGTTGGGGAACCATTGAAAATCTGGGAGCACTGGACATCTGTTTCGTTCTAGTATTGGACTCCTCAGCAGTACGCACCCATGACCCCACCGGGCAGGGATTGAACTCAGGGCCTTCAGGTTTCACGGTGGACGCGTTAACCATACTATGGGTAGGCATAGACTGATCACTGTTTCTTTTTATGAGCACATAACTTCGATTTGTAATCATTGAATGGCTACTCCACTTGAACGAAACACAACAACTTTGACTTTGCATAGTATAATAAAAAGACGGAGGTTATCTGAGTAGTGTGTGTGTGTGTATTCGCGCCATATATTTCGAACAATCTGATCACACACACACTTACTTGTCACAAGGCGTTTTATATGAAGGATGAAAATAGGTTGGGATAATTATCCTTTTAATTATCTGAGTGGTTTGCCAGACTAAATGATGATTTGGATCGGGATGAGAAGTTCTGACTACAGGCAGCCAATGTGAAATACGACCAAGTGATAGTAATGCGTCACGAATTCACATAGTAGTCATCGGGGAAAATGTTTGATGATTGATGAAGTGAAATAAAGATCTGGTCAGCAATTAGACCTTATAGCTCTCAGTTGGTAAAGTATCGGTCTGGAAACCCAGTGGTGGCTGGTTCGAATCCGACCGTGGTTCAAATTTTCATTTCACCTTCAATCATCATCTAGTAAAATTACATTCAAGTAATCCGATAAATACATGAGGCAGGCAGACTTCATCGTTGATAGGTAAACACAGGTCACAGGATTGACCCCCAAAACAGCTTTTACACCATTCATTGTATAGGAGCCGTCGAAGACCGTATACTTAGGTTGATTGAAGCCTTAGCTATACGAGAGTGTATTCAAAGACAAACTCTGGTAATCTTTATCTCATTTCAATCCCAAGGAAGGTGTGAAAATGTATTATTTTTCCTTATTGTCCCCTTATATTTTCCAAATCTTGTATGATCTTAGTTTATTTATTTTACCCCACCCTAGGTTTAGGGTTAGTATGCTATTCTAGTGGGCGTTGCTGATCAGGATGGATATAAGTAGTATGCGTTTAGAGGGCGACAGACATCTAAGGGAATTGCCAGCAGTTGGTAAAGATTCAGCCCTGAAGAACGCATGAGACAATGGGAGCATATTAAGAGCAAATCAAGATAGAAGACGGAGAGGAAGTGAAGCACACTATATGCACATGACTGTCTTAGTGGAAGGTGTACAACACTTGATGACTACTGTACAAGATGTTAGTAGTAAATATTCCTTCCTTCGTCCCAGTCTTCTCACTTCCTTCATCATTACTATTATCACCACTATTATTACTACTGTTATTACCTATTCTACTTGTATTTTTCTTACGATTCCTAAGAAAGTTATCAATTAATTTGGGGAGGTTAGTTGTTGATGAGTAAGGTGTCTTTCATGTATCTAATTTCTTGTCTTAGATCTTCTATTTTACTAGTAAGTTCCTGGGTTATATCTCTTAGACACTTTACTGAGCCAACTGTAACTGACTGGCATTAGGGTGAGACGATTCGCAGTCTCAGCAATGATTTGAATGTGAAGGCTTTCTGTAGACACTCGTGTACAAACTTCCATCTCGTTTCCATTTTATTCTGCGATCCAACATCACTAATTCTCCTTAAATATTTTCTATTTCAACAATGTAAACATGTCGCCTACATATCGAGACTATATTTTTGCAGCTGGACTAAATCTTTCTACAGTTATAGGTTACCAACTATCCATGAATAATAGATCAGCCACAGTAGGGGGATATTGGTGATCCCATAGCAACTTCTTCTGTTTGTTTGTATATTTTATTCTGAAACTTAAAGATTGTGGAAGTTAGGCATAACTGTACTACTAGCATGATCAATCAGTCAATCAATCATTATCAACATAGGACCAGGCATTACTGCGTAACGGTCCGAGTTGCCACACCTCACGTCGGTTCATCAAGTAGAAAGGTAGTGAGGTGAAGGATGAAGATAAGTGAATGCAGTCAAAAGAAATATAAAGTACTAGAAGAAAGGAAAGAGGAGTGACAAAATAGTGAGATTCGGTATAGTGTAGTTAAGATGAGGATAATGTGTGTGTACATCTGCCCCCAACTGACATCGGTTCTAAGCCACATGGTCACCTAGGGTCTCCAACTACTCATTGGTTCCTCTTGTCCCGCGAACAGACCCCAACCACCTAGTCTGCATCGTCCTACATGGCTTAAACCAACAGTCAGAGACTTCATACATTGGTGCCATGTTTTAGTCTGGCCACCTCGAGTCCTTTTCCAGCCTGCACCTACTTCGGCCAACATTGTGTGACGAGGCAGTCGGTGACTAGGCATACGTGGTACGTGTCCCAACCATCTCAGTCGATGAAGGTTCATAACCTCGTCAACTGACTTACCTCTTCTCCCCAAAACTCTACACCTAACTTCTGCATTACTCAGGTGGTGACACCACGGAATACGTCCTATACTACGAAGGCAACGGTGGTCAAATACCTGAAGCCTTTTTATATCTTCCACTTTCAATGGCCATGTTTCACAGCCATACAGTAGAACAGAGCGGACTGCTGTGCAGGTGCAGTACACTCGACCCTTAATAGACAAACGAATATCACGGCGGCACCATAGGTGGCGCAAATTGGCAAAAGCCAATCGAGCCTTTTGTATCCATGCAGAGATCTCATCGGCCACTGAGCCAGCAGGGTTGATCCTACTTCCCAGGTAAGTGAAGTGGTCAACACACTCAACCACTTCACTCTCTATCTCCTATCATGATATCATCTAGTGGTACCTTAGCTCATAGTTTAAGTTAATGGTGATTATTAAACTCGTTTCCAACTGCCTCCAGAAACATGCCAATCGGCATGTTAGTGTACAAACTAGCTATTACTTTAATATTGAGTTATGGTGTGTGATTAGATTATTGGAAATGTATTGCGCGAATACATCACACATTTCTCAGATAAACCCCGTCTTCTCATTACACTATGTAAATTAATCTAAGGGACTAGTTATTTCAAAATTTGACTTGATCCTTGTATTCACTAATAATTTTGAACAATTTCTGGATATATCGACTTCATATCCACTGTGAGTGATAGAGCTGTTGAAGACTTTTCCACCTGTCAGTCGCAAATTCCTTCAAATATGCTCAGACATACAGTCATAAGCCCTTCTTTATGTTCATTTAATCGTATATATTTTGTCACGTACATATGAATTTGCATATGTAACTGATGAGGAACCGCGAAATAAAAATGATGCATGATATTCTGATGAGGCTGTTCATCATTATTCAGATCAACATAACACCAGACATTACTGCGTAATGGTCCAAGCTGCCACACACTTCAGATCAGCACATCAAGTTACAAGGCAATAAAATGGAAGGAGAAGAAAGAAAGCAGCGTGGGTCAAAGGAAGTAGAAGTAGAAAGTGGTGAAAAAGAGGAAGAAACAATGAGAAGATTAAGTATAACGGTTAAGATGAGGATAATGTGTGTATGCATCCGCACCATTGACATGTATTCTGAGCCATATCACCTAGACTCTCCTAGGGACCCTAATCAGCTACTCTGTATCACCTTACATGGCTCAAACCAACAGTCAACGACTTCATACATCGACGCCGTGTTTTAGTCTGGCTACCCCTAGCCTCCTTCTAGCCTGAACGTACTTCAGGCAACATTATGCTACGAGGCAGACAGTGGCTAGGCATACGTAAAACATGTCGGAACCAGGCATCTCAGTCTACGAAAGTTCATAACCGCATCAACTGTCTTACCCCTCCCCCCTAAAACTCTGCGTCTGGTTTCTGCATTACTCAGGTGGTAACTCCACGACACATGGCAAAGGTGGTCAAACACCCGAAGCCTTCTCATGTCTTCTATCTTAAATGTTCATGTCACACAGCCAAAGAGTAGAACAGAGCGAATTTCAGCACAGTACACTCAACCCTTAATAGACAGTCGCATATCACGGCGGTACTGCAGATCGCGTAATTTGGCAAAAGCTAAACGAGGCTTTGTGCAGAGATTTCGTCGGCCACTGACCAACTCACCAGGGCTGGTTTTACTTCCCAGATAAGTGGAGTGTTCAACGCGCTCAACCACTTCACTCTCTATTGTTAGTCGGGGTACCGTCCAAGACCAGTCCTGGAGTAACAGTCTGCACTTGGATGGCGAGAAATGCATCCCAAACATTCTAACCTTGTTACTCAAGGTGTCCAGGAGACTCGGAATCTTGTCAATGTCTTCACCTTACAGGACTATACCATCTGCGTGTTGTATGTCTCCTGTGATTAGGCTAATCCCTGGATAATTGGATGTCGAGAAGGAGACCTCTATGATAAAGCTGAATATGAATGGAAAGAGTGGGCATCCTTGACGTACACAACTCACCCAATTTCTCACCACAGGCTCTAACACGCCTTCAGGTGACCCAGTAAAGAACATTCACTAGGGTGATGTACTTACTCGGTACCTCTTTTAGTTGAGAAATACTGCCATAAGATTTCTAGATCGACGGAGTCAAATACCATTTCCAAGTTGAGAAATGCAGCTATTTTGTCCGGCGTCGATAAGCTTGTCTGTTTTCTAGAACTTGACGGAGTGTGAATATTTGGTCGATACATACGCGGCCTGGTCTAAAGCCCGCTTAGTTTTCTCGGGCTTGTTGTTCCCGAGCTCCACTCAGATATGTAATGATTATAGAACCTAGAGTCTTAGACACTATGTTTTGCCAAGTTGATTTCTCTATGATTATCACAAGAGGACTTCCCGCCTTTTTTAAAGACTGGGATATTCAGTGGTTCTGACCAGTCATAGGGGATCATATTTGACTCAAATCACTCTACCACCGTCGTTATATACCTCAGGAGCTAGTTAGTCTGAACCTGCTGTCCTTCTTCGTTTCAAGTGACCTACCGCTTTCTCGATTTCAATCGTTAGGGGGTTGTTGTTCGCTCTCGATTTGAATTTGTGAAGGGAAAGAATTGTATGAAAAAAAAGTATAATCTGATGTGTTACTTAGCTGTTCATTTATTTTAAGAAGAGAGATATGCATACTTATGTACTCATGATTGTTTAATTCGTGTATAATCTAATCTCTTGCCAATTTCGTGTTCATTTCTAGATTATCCTCGTGGCTGTTCATCAATGTTGCTTAACACCTTTTTATATCCAGATATTGTTGGTCATCCAATGATTATTAAAACATATCAAACTGGTTTCAGTATGGGTAAATCTGTCCCGTGTATTTTTGGTGCTAAATCAAATTCTATAATTCAAATCGGGTCGACAAATATGACAACAAGTGAACCGGTGACTTTGTTATCAATGTTTACAAAATCTTCAATATGTGGTTGTGGATTATCTTCGAGTGATCCTTTTATAGTTGCAGATTTCTTGGAAGAATTAGGCTATGCTTGTACAATAACGTAATCAATTTTCATTTCTTGTATTTATCTGATTGAACCTTTTTTTTCCTTCTTACATCTGCTTTGAATATCATCATTTAGGTTATGATTATTGATCTGTTCCACAGAGAAACCATCACTAATGATTAAATTTTCTATAAAGTATACGTTTCAATGTCCAAAGTTGATGTTTTCAGTAGTCGCCTAATTGGATCTACCTTTCGATTTTCGTTTAGTCGACCTACGATGTTTGAACTCTATGACTGCCGGTGATGGGAGGAGTGGGGAATACCTGTAGCTCAATGTAGCTGGATATGCATCTACCTCTACAGCTGTGGTTGACAAATGTTTCAGTGTGTATACTTTCATGAATTCATAAAGAATGACAAACTTCTATCCATGATTCATACTCGTTTCTAAAGAGTTTAAGGGCTTATGATACTGCTACTTAGCTTCACAAACCTCAGTGTAAGTGGAACTGGGCTCGAACCCGTGACGACCGAATGATTAGAAATCATCTCTGTAAACCACTGACCCATAGTTCCACACTGTTTTAAACACTAAGCATTATTTCATGATATCCTTCTATCCGTGACAAATGGATTGACTGCTCATCGATAAAAGGCATAAAGCAAAGGCATCAACAGTCATAGTATGCTATATCTGACTTGGTAACGTGATACTATGTCCAGTTCAAATCTCCCTGTAACGACCAGCTGTTGATACGTTTCCGTCTAGACTATAGGCAGGTACGTGGTTGTCAAGGGCGCATAAAGCAGTGTGAGTTTAGTGGTGACCATGAGAATCTAGGATATTGGAAAATGGATTCTTCGAGGTTACGAAATTTCCACGGACAACAAATGAAGATTATGGAAACACACAATCCAAAATTTCTGGTACTTAATCCTCACCTAGTGTGCCAGTTCTGATAGCTCCTCCAGTTGATGATATCTCCAATAACATCGCTGAATTTTATTTACTACGATTGTGATGCCAATGAGACTTTCAGTGCTTGGTTCAGGCGTTAGGATGACTACTTCATAGTGAATTCTGACCAAGATGATTACTGGAAGATTCGTCACCTAATTTGACTTACTCCACCTGAGCTCGACCGACACTGCAACATAATTTCACCGTAGAACCTACATGATCGGATTTTCGACACCACAGTCCAGACACTGAATAGCATGCCTGCAGAATATCAACGACTGGGTAACCTGCAGCATGATACAAGTTTAGCCCGATCCGAAAGCCAAGGTGGTTCTGAAGTACATGCAGGTCGACAGACATCTCATTTCTCCACATCACCCTCTGGTCACACCTCTTGGCCTTATCTCGCCTGTTCTTCCACCCAGTAACTCATGCGATATCAACCGATCCTCGAAGAAAACACCCTAATCGCTTTACTGGCATTTCGTTAAATCTTGTGCACCTAAGCAACATCCATGGCGGTGAGGACATAGGGACGGTTTTTGCTATCCATCCAAATCAACATACGACCAGGCATTATTGCGTAACGGTCCAACTTCTCGGCATACCTCATATCAGTACATCAAATCAAAACTCAGTGAAGTAGGAGATGAAGAAAGGAAAATTCACTCGAAAGAAAGATAAAGTACGAGAAGAGAGAAAGGAAGGATGAGAAAATGGTGAGATTTGGTATAGCTTCGTTAACATGAGGATAATGTGTGTATACATCTGCCCCCAGCCGACATTGGTTCTCAGCCATGTCACCTAGCCTCCAACCACTCACTGGTTTCTCTTGTTCCGTGGACTCCAACTACCCAGTCTGCATCGCTCCATATGACTCAAACCAACAATCAAACACTTCATACATTGATGTCATGTTTTAGTCTGGCCGCCTCAAGCTTTTTTCCATTCTGAACCTACTTCGGCCAACATTGTGTGACGAGGTAATCGGCGGCTAGGCATACGTAACACATGTCGGAGCCAACCATCTCAGTCGATAAAGGCTCACAACAGTACAGTCCAGTTTGACCTCAAATAACATTCTTTCGAATAGGCAGGTGATATAGGGATAGCGAGACATTACTAGTCTGGAGATGGGCCAATCAAAATGTAGTTTTTGTTGTCACGTCTGAAGTTGGATAGATATACGGTGGGATTAATCTTCGGTCTTTCGATCGCAATACACGTCGATCATGTCTTCTGTATGAATTAGTCGGGTCGGGAGTCAACTAGGAATTTGTCAAATGTGTTGATAGTCGATATTCGTGCATCGTTAGCGCGGTCATAGTGTATAACAGTTTTTGGATTGTAATACTCCAGTTGTTATCATTTTGGTTTAAGTAAGAAACGATTTCTTGAATAGCAGTTAGGGCGGCATCATTTCACAATGACCTTCCTATTATTATTGTATGTTTGATGCAAACTGGTTGTTATTATTTTGTATACTTACTTGTCTAACTTATTTTTTAGACTGGAATCAATGCGTTCAGTACTAAATTGCTTTGAAGTAGATGAATTGAGTCCAACAGTCATTGCAAAATGTTTATGTTTATTCTTTCGAACGGCTGACGGACAATTGAATACTGATGAAGAACACGAGAATAGTAAGGCGTATATTACAGCCTATAATAAAGTAATGTTATACAATGCTCAGTGTAAAGATTTACAACAATCACAATTAGGTAAATGATACTTCTCCGTGTTTCAAAAACAAAGTTTTACTTTAATGTTACTGATTATTATTGAAGTTATTCAGCGTGGGTACCAAAACGAATGAACCATTCAGAGGAAAACTTATAACGTAATATCAAAGGAAAGAAGGAAGGAACGATTGAGGGCAAGATATCGACGCTGAGCCATGTTTAAACTCGTCTTTAAGGTACCCTCCCCCCCCGCTCTCCCCAACACATTTCTACTCCATGCTGTAACAACAGCACGTCATACACCGACTTTCAGTTCGATAGCAATCAAAACTGTACAATTCAGGAATCACTATGATTCCATCGTAACATATGCTCAAACCGCGGTAGCGAATACTTTACTGTTGCATCAGTCAATATCGACATAGGGTCAGGTATTCTTGCGTAATGGTTGAAGTTTCAATATATATATATATATATATATATATATATATATATATATCAGCACAACAAGTAACAAAACGGTAAGATGAAAGGTGAAGGAGAGCTGAGAAGACGCTGAATCTACTATAGCGCCACTGACATCAGTTCTGAGCCATATCACCTGGAGTTTCCAACCTCTGGTTTCTGTTGCCATATGCACCTCAATCGGCTAGTCTACCTTTCTCTTCATGGCTCAAGCTAAAAGTCATGTCTGACTACTCCGAGCGTTTATCCAAACTAATCATACTTCAGGTATCATGGTGCGTCGAAGCAGACGGGTACTAGGTTCACGACCTTATCAATTGACTACTCTCTCCTCTCTAAAACTCTATACTTGACTTCTGTTTTACTCACATTGTGATATCACGACACAGGACCTGTGATATGAAAGCAATGGTGGTCAAACATCTAAATCCTTCTCATATCCTTTACATTTAGTGGCCATGTTTCACAGGTATAGAGTAGGACAGAGCGAACTGCGGCACAGTAAACTCGACTCTTAATCGATAACGGGATACCGTAGCAGTACCATAGATGTCGTGAGTTGACGAAAACCAATGAAGCCTTTTGTATCCATGGAGAGATTTCCTCGGTCACTGACCCACTAGGCTTGATTTGGCTTCCCAAGTAAGTGAAGTGTTCAAATTATTCAACCACTTCATTTTCTGTTGTTAGACTAGGCACCACTGATGACTTGTCGTGAAGCAACGATCTACATTTCGAGTGACGAGAAAACGCGTTCTAAACATTCTCAAATTACCATTCAAAGTATCCAGAAGAGTTACATCATTCAATAAATGACGATCTTTATCACTCACAAGTATGTACTGCGTAACATAGTGTTTCTATCACATACCAGCAACCACATAAAAGGGATGATAATCAAATACACAGATTTATTAGGCATCAGCTAAGAAAAATCAGCACTAAAATACTAAATCTAAGAAAAACGATGCATCTAGTCAACTAGTTGTCACCATCGTGTCCTCCACATGCATCCCATTTCACATTTTATGTCGTTTCCTGGACTATTTCTTTTTTTTATTGGCTTAGAAATCGAACTTTCAAGTAGAGAGTTCCCAAGGTCGAAACCTGTTTCACCAATTTCATCAACTGACGAGTGTAATAAATCCTCAGAAAGAAAGTGGTGCTTTATAACCTAGTAAATACAACAGTTTACAGCGTTAACGTGTTAAATATAACTGTATGTTTTTATCGTTTGTTTCTTACAGGTGATACTTTATATACTAATGCAGACGACATGACTTCATCAATATCGACATGGAATGTGGAAAATTTTCTCATTGTTCTAATTGAAATGATTCCTAATCTGAAAATTATCACAGTATGTAATGTTTAAATTAACTTCCTAGTTTCTACCACTGTGTCTGCTTAGATTTTTAGTGATAACTGTCTAGTGTTATCGATGATTAGGTATGTATTTTTGTGAATGTTTAACACGAAGGAGTACACTGACGATATTGTCTTGCTAGATGAAAATGCTGATAAAATCCAGAGTTTCTTGAACGCGTTGAGCCGAAAGTTCAGTATGTTTAGCATATGTTTTGCATCTGTGAAATGTAAGATTGATGCTTTTGGACTGGTCTGTGTCGACGACTTCACTTACTTGCTTGCTTGCTAATGAAATTTTAGCACGGATACAAAACACTCATTTAACATTTGCAAATTTGCATCATTTCTGATGTTCGTTCGTTCAAACTGGAAGATATGCAGCAGTTATAGATGTTCAACCAAAGATGTCTTCCTAAGCATCTGGTGGAATCATCATCTTAACAGTGTCGACGTCGATCGATAGGGTTGTGAACATTCATCGACATATGTTTCACATGCTGAGGCACCACCTTACTCAACATGCAGTGCTGGGAGAAGACGGTCTAGGTTGAAAAAAAAAGACTGAAGGTGGTCAGATTAAGTTTTGGCACAAGTTCATAAAGTCTCTGGCTGTTCGTCTGAGGCGCATATGAGGACACATTACATAGCTCGAGTCCACGAGACTGTGACTGAAAATCAGTCACAATGGTACAGGTATATTCACTCTTCGACATCTTATAAAGCCTGAATATTTGTTGTTCGTATACTCCTGAATGTAGTGTGAATCTTCGCGTCTATACGTGATGTAACCCCTAGATTAGTGTTGTTAACTAGAATAATAATGGTAAAGTATGCTACATATAGTTTCACCATAATTTATGCAACTCAGCTACCCCGACACAGTTTGTTTAATGCCGTTAACAGTAAAGCATATCAGCTATATTTAGATATATAATAATAATATCCAGTTGCCGACGTATAAATGACGAAGGGTTTAGATCTGGTGTAATAATCGACTGCTATTCAAAGCATTGAGTCACATCTATTATTCACCTCCATCGTCATGTGTACGTAAGTAACCTGTGTGTACATTCTGATGTGACTGAGTCAGAGTAGGACATCAGTTTTAATAATAAACGAAACGAGTAATGCGAATGTTCTCCCCCACACTTAATGAAATTTCACTGAGACGCGAAAATCTAAAGACAAAAAACAGACGGACCTGTGACTAACTTAAGGAAGATAATTTTATTTGACAAGAAATAGCATTTATATACAGCTAGTACTCAGAAAATGTAGCCACTAGAGCACCAATCAGCTGCAAGGACAAAGTTGTTCAATAAAATTAATTTGACCAGTCATAATCTGAGACGAAAATATTTTTGTCCCGACTGCGAATGACCTTGAATGATGATTTCTATAACCTATTCGTATACTATTCTCCTATTGTGTATGTATGTGTGTGTGTATATTTACAATATTTCACAGGTGTTAAATGAACTCGACTGTCCAGAATTCATGATAACAAGCCGTCAGTCTTTCAATTTATTTAAACAAATCATTTTCTATGCAAATCAATCAAATCTTCCCAAAGAATTCTTTTATCGTCCATGGGTAAATGTCTATGGACAGTTGAGTTTACTACACTGTTGTTGTATATATCCTGATATCATATGTCTAGCGTATTGGCCGTATCGATATATTGATATGAGTCTGTATCATATCTCATCAGATGAAGAACATGGTGTACTATTACAAATATGGTAAGTGAGAAGTTATATGTTATTATTACTGACTAATTTTTCTCCGTTTTTAGTAAGTGTATAAGAGGAATACTGAAGTGACTGACTGAATAATCATAATAATAAGTACGTAATAAAGCATTTGAACTGTATACCAATAGCGACTGGTTCTTCCTTACTGAACCGCGAAGATCAGAAGGCGAAAACTGTCCTATGGCTGTAAGGAAGACATTTTATTCGACTGAATTTGTATACAACAGTTTTCATGAACATATAAAACTACAAGGTCAAAAGTTGAATAACTTGTACTGATTGGCCAACTGTAGGATAAAATTGTCCAATCAGGTTTCATCTGATCATGCAGTAATATGAAACACAAAAACTTCCATCTGAACGGTTGATTATCATTCAAGCCACTTGCTATCCGAATACACATCACAAAGAGTTTTGTTTACATTGACTGGAAGCAATGATGAGTGTGCTAACAGCAGAAGAATTCTTATCTAATCACTTAAGGCGAACAACAAATGATGCAAAGAAGACTGTGGAAGGCATCAATCAGCATTAGACACAGTACTTAGCAATTATTTATGCTTATTAATTCAGGAAACTGACACGAAAAAGACAATAGTCAATGAAGCTATCCTGATGACCTCCACGAAGAAGTGGGTGGAACACTGACTGGAGAACAGTTTGGAGTACAATTTAACTGGTCTACACCCACACTTCAGTAGCATAAAGTTCACTGGGATCCTAACCTTAGTGTATGCGAATTACAAGTAGTTTCGTTAGATTGGCCTAAATCATAGACTATTCTAGGTTCTTGGAAAGAAGAAAAGTCTTCCGTTTAACTGGGTGGTGATTATATGTGAAACGAAAATTACTGACCGTGGCAAGGTTCGAACTACCGACTTCTTAGTTTCCGGCCCGGTACTCTACCAACAGCGTCAGCTTGACTAGCTTCGTGTCTATTATCTTACGGTCTCATAGTTATCCGATGCTTAACTAGAACTTGGGAACAGCAAACTCCGAAAATTGAGGCAAGCTTCAAATCTAAACAAGGATGCATCGATCATACCATCACCGTTTAACAGGTTTTAGAGCATAGGTATAATTTCAGACTTATAGCTCACTGGTTTACAGAATTGACTTTCAACCAATAGGTCACGGGTTCGAACCCCGTTCCACCTAAACCGATGTTTAGGCAACCAGGTAGTAGTGTATTACTAGCTGTGTGTAGCTCATTACCTACTACACAAATATCCACTAGGTTACCGAGTATATTTCGATAGGCATACTGACTGACTTCCAACACTTCCTATGTTTTTTTGACTTTAAGGCGGCACTCTCGAGTGAAGGAAATAGCAATCAAGGGTATAGTACTACCTCTTCAAATCAAGCAGCCGCGTATGGGCTTACAAAAAGTTGTTGTCTGATGTAACTGTGGCAGTTTATGTCCTTTATTCTCTTTCCTACTTCACTTCATTATTAAAAGTGTCAATGGATGTAATCATAAACGCCTTTGACTTCTCACAGGTTTACTGATTAGCAGAATGGTATCTGGTTAACTTGAAATGTGCAGACGATGAAGCGCGTGGAGTTTAGTTTGTATTTTGCAACTGTCAAATGTAAAATGATTCTTCAAGACTAGTTGATACCAACTCCTAGTTTAAGAATAGTCAGTGAATCTGTGTTGACTACTTCACCTAATTAGGGCATTGCATCATCATTCCCCGAATGGGTTGATTGTTGTCTAAGTTGTAGCTTGGATAGAATAGACTGACTCTAACACCGTCGATACATACAACTATCTATCAGATAGATGATGAGTATTTATTTATTGATTATGGAACATAGGGCTTCAGTAGCACACCTCCAGTGAACTCTGTTCTCTGCAAACTTTTGAACCTGGCTCCACGACAGCTCAGAAGCTCTCATTTCCTTCTCGCACGATTTCCTCCATGTCACCCAAGTCGTCGCTTCCCATGGGGATTCCACTCGAGCAACTGGCCTGACGCGTGATGTCCCCAGTCAGCCTTCTCAGTGTATGCCCAATCCATCCCCACTTCCTTCCACTGCATATTTGTTCAGCGATAGCTTTTTGGTTAGTTCGTTGCCAGCCAGATTTCTTTGTTGCTTATTCTTATTATTCTGGCCATCTGATCTTCAGTAACGAGCCAGCGTAGGCGGCAGTTGTTGATGAATATCTGTAGTTTGTTAGAAATCTCTTTCGTAACGCGCCAAGTCTGTGGGCCATACAGAAGCACTGACTTGACGTTGGTGTTGAAAATCCGGATCTCGTTGCACATGTTGAATGCAGAAGATCTCCACACTAGTTTCAGGCTTATGAACGCCTGTCTTACTTTTCTGATTCTGGCTTTGACATCTTCGTCTGTGCCGCCTGTAGTTGAGACCGTGCTGCCTAGAAGAGTGGGTGAACGAGGCTGCTTCCTTTAAGTTTCTTCCGTTGATGGTGATTGGAGTTTGTTGTTGTTGGTTGGGTATCTTCATCACCTCTGTCTTCTCTGCATTCACTTGAAGTCCCGTCTTCGCTGTCTCTTCTGCCAACTTATTAGTTTTCTCAGATGATGAGTATATTGCCCAGTAATCCATTATATTTTATTAAACAACCCTGAGACGTAATCACTGAAAGCAGAAAACACGGGGGAGCTACAGGTTGTTCACTATGACCGTCTTCATAGCATTGTTCACATATACTAAAACCACTGTGTGAGAAATTTCAAGGTTAGGTATAGGTTACCAAAGTGGTCAGTCAGTAATGTTGTGAATGTGCGATGGCTGACGTGTCTTGGATATGAATTGTGCATACTGTGACACCGCCTACCTTCACACATCAAAGAAGGTTGAGCATGGCTGGACTTAAACGTGGCATTAGTCAGGCTGCTATCCTGAAGAAGAGAAAAGTCAAGGGTTGAAGATTCCTGGTGATATTGCTGAAAGTTAATAACACACTTTTGTCCACTTCAGTGTCATTCATTTTCTCTCCTTCTGTTTACTTGTTGCTATGAAATGTGTGTAAGCTCGATACAGTGTAGTTCACTGCCATGTTCTGTGTTGATCTGTCTGTCTGTTCAATATGATGTAACAATGGCGAAACTCTGTTTCTGAGACTGTCATAGGTTTTATTCTTTGGCGATTTGAAGTGTGAAGCCCAGAAAAAAGTAAACGCTACCGACTGACAAAATTAACGTATAACCTCGTACACAAATGGATTGGCTCAAGTGACCATACTTCACAGTAGTATACAAAGAACAGGTGAGTAGAATATCTGAAGATGAAGATTGGTGCAAACTACTGATTCCCTTCTTCTGGTGGACCCCAGCCAAACAGTCTACATCTTCCCACTCGGCTCAGACCAACAGTAAGGGTCTTTATGGACTGGTACCAGGTCCTGGTTTGGCCACCCTAACCCTATTCCAACCTAATCCAACTTCCTTGTAGCATAATACGTCTAAGTAGGCAGCGGCTTGGCATATATAGCACATGTCCAGGTAATATTCGGCGACTTAGGCTCACAATCGACTTGTCGACCTTCTTTGCCTAGTACCCTTCATCTGGCGTCAGTATTGTTGACATGCTGATCCCACCAAACGCGATCAATGCTAAAAATCGAAACCCTGTGATCACTTTATATTGTCTACTTTTAATGACCATGTGTCACAGCCGTCTAACAGGGCAGTGTAGTCGTCTTTTGATAGATAGTCGGATGTCTCTCCAGTTGACACCAGAAGTGACGACAGTTGCCTAGTGCGAAACAGGCCTTCTGTATCTGAATTGAGATTTCTCTAGCTACTAACCCATTCGAGCTGATGCTGACATCAATAGTGAATCGGAATTGATTTTGCTTAGTGAACGTAATGTAACTGCAATCCGACCGATAGCTGCTACCTTGACGTGGTGGTCAGACTTCCATATCACAGTGACCCAAGTCGCTATGCTGGTGGAGCACTTGTTCCCTCGAGGTCCTACCATACCAGAAAGGTCTGTTGGATAGTGGTTAGACGAAAAGCAGTTACCGTTGTAGTGTAGATTACTACACCATTATGGGGGCCTGAGGGCGAAGTCGTACTGCTGCTAGTCGGATGGGGTGTGACAGCAGTAAGGTGTTTCCCTTGGATGATCAACGGTGCCATGATGATGCTGCCTTCTCAGTGGAAGGAGTGGGGTGGTTAGAAAAGGTCGACTCCAAAATTAACATACTTCACCCTGCCCTACGGTCTGCCAGGTCGGTGGTGTTGGTTCATTTGTCGTTTCTTTTCGATCATCTGGCCCAAAAATACAAAAGTTCAAAATAATCGTGCACAAAAGACTGAGTGTGACAGGCCTCAAGCAGATGTCCGATAGACTGTGCTGTCACACAAATGTCTTCCAGGTACCTTAAGAAGAAATAGCCCTCGATGGTGTAGGCAACCGGGAAGTATCAATCACCCTCACAACTCGATCAGCACTCAAGTAAGCGGCAACAGTTTTCTTTAATTCCCATAGTACAAGTGTTGGACTGTATTTTTTTGATTCATCATCATCAATATCAACGTACGACCACGCATTACTGCGTAACGGTCCGAATCGCCCCATCTCATATCAGTACATCAAGTAAAAGTGTAATGAGGCGCAAGATAAGGATAAGAGAATGCACTCAGAAGAAATATAAAGTACGAAAAAAGAGAACGAAACAACGAGGAAATTGTGAGATTCGGTATAGTGTCGTTAAGATGAGGATAATGTGTGTGGCGATACATCTGCGCCACTGACATCGGTTCTGAGCCATATCCCCTAGAGTCTCCAACCACTCACTGGTTTGTCTTGTCCCATGGACTGACCCCAACCACCTAGTGTGCATCGCCCCACATGACTCAAACCAACAGTCAGAGACTTTATACATCAGTGCCATGTTTTAGTCTGACCATCCAGCGCCTTTCTCCAGCTGGAACCTACTTCAGCCAACATTGTGTGATGAAGCAGTCGGCGACGAGGCATACGTAATGCGTCTCCCAACCATCTCAATCGATGAAGGATCATGACCTCGTCAATAAATTTACTTCTGCTCCCTAAAACTCTATACCTGACTTCTGCGTTACTCACGTGGTGTGGTGACACCACAGAATACGGCCTGGTACTACGAAGGCAGAGGTGGTCAAACACCTGGAGCCAGCCTTCTCATGTCCGCCTTCCATCTTCAATGGCCATGTCTCGCAGCCATACAACGAAACAGAGTGGACCGATGTGCAGTGCACGTGACCCTTAATTAACAATCGGATATCACGGTGGCGTGAGTTGGCGAAAGCCATCCGAGACTTTTGTATTCGAGCAGAGATTTCACCGAGGTTGCCACCAGGGTTGATCCTACTTCCCAGGTAAGTAAAGTGGTTGACACACTCAACCACTACATTCTCTATTATTAGCCGCGGTGGAGCACCGTTAAAGACCAATTCTGGAGCAACATTTTGCATTTGGATGGTGAAAACTGCATCCCAAACATTATCAAATTCCCACTGAAAGTGTTCAGAAGACTTTGCATCTTGTCGGCATCTTCACGTAACACGACTATGTCATCTGCATATTCTAAGTCTAAAGAAGATTTTCCTGTAATTAGGTCAACGTCTGCGAACCTGGTGACAACTGACTTAAGTACAATTATGTTTGATTTTTTAAAAAAAAGGCAAAGGCTGTTGCCAGATCCATGCAAGGTACCAACTTATATAGCTGTTTACTACAATTTTAAAGCATTTATACCTGATATGTTTTTATGATATGACACAGATTGAATTCAATCACATCTACTCATATTTATTCTTCAAAATCTTGTCGAATTCATATTTGTACTAGGCTTCTAATTGTATCTGTTTGCCTATAGACGTGATTTATCTATGAAATATATTAACCTTAGGAGAAATGAAGTCAGGTTGTCCGCTAATTAATTGATTCTTCATCTCAATCCTATAACTTATTACTGCTGTAGTCAGTCTAGTTTTTATGACAGGTAATAATAATAATAATAAGTACGTGGAAGCTCTACTACCAGAGGCTGAACAAATTCAGTTCCGAAAGTCAAAAATTCCAGTTGTTTTTATGTAGATGTGTTATATGGTATTTATACTGTTTACCTGTGTTTTTGGTATTTATGTTTAAAAATCAGAACATATAGTTACCAGTCATTGATCCCAGGTGTCTTCGTAGCACTGCCCCACGTTTGATAGAATTATACTGCGTGTGAGCCAATGTTTAGGGGTTAGATGAAAGGGTACTAGCCGAGACTGTCAAGTCAACCAACAAAGTTATGAGCTTTCATTGACTGAGGCGACTGTATATATGGTGTACATGTCGAGTCACCATCTACGTCGATGAGGTTGTAAAAAGATTGAATGGGGTCGAACCAAGACGTGACACCCACCAGGCAGGGAAGTCTCCGACTGTTGATATGAGCCAAACATGAAGGTGTAGCCTACCACACCGGTGTCCGCCAGTCAATAGACATCAGTATTTGAGGACTCTTGCTGATGTGGCTGGAAATCTGTTACGATGGTGCAGATGTTATTAATCTTTGACGTCTTCTAAGGCTTGGATATTTTCAATAACTTTAGGCTGCTAATCGTCACGTACTGACATCAGTTTGAGGACTGTCAGCAACCTGGTAATGCTAGACAGTCGTTTATTTCCGTGGTATGGGGCTCCTCAGCAGTGCACACCCGTGACCCTGCCAGGGTTCGAACCCAGGACCTTCAGGTTCCGTGGTGAATACAGAATCCAGTGATCCACATTCCCTCATTCTTTCAGTTCACGATATAGCTTGACCTCCATTCAATGCCGTCATTAAGTCACTGTCCTCGCGCCCAACTTGGTTGGCGCCACAGGTTACGACTTCGGGAATCACCTCACGATGCTAGTCACAAATACGCACTTCGTTGCTTTTCTGGTGTTATATTAATCTTCATGACTAGTAGAGGAATGCAGGATACGCGTTTCGTCCTATTCGGGAGTGCGTCATCAGGTGGATTTACCTGCAGCCGAGTGCGAAGTGATATTGTTCCCCCTATGGCTCGAGCCTCGTACCCATCACTTTTAATGCCAGTGTTATCCACTAGGGTACATAGCCATCTCGTGTACAATGGATATCTGTTGTTGTTATGATACTTGTAGTTTCCTGTTGCTATACAGGGCAGATGAGCTCCTATGCGAATGCCTAAATGTTGCCGGATATTCATAATGTTATATATTGACCTTATTCTTCTGGATTAGACTAAGTTTATTAATAAAATACTCTGGTCTGTGAACCACTCTCATGTTTGTTTTTATTCCAGTTTCCATATTGTTTCACTTATAAACTGTTCCATGTGATAATCATGTGTCTAAGCTAATAAATTTCCTGTGTATTCACAAAGATTTTTGTATCTGAATTATGAAAAGATCTAATACTGTTTTAATTGGATATGTTAATCCAATGCACATGATTCAGATGTCCTCTTTCTCTGACACACACACACACACACACACACACTTATATACCTGTACACCTTTGTAGTCAGCTGATTGTATACATG